GGGAGCAGGGGTGTGAGGAAGAGGCGAGGAAAAAGTAGAAGGCAGCACTGTGCTGCTTCCTCTCCTGCTGCCCCCGCCCCCCTTGCTGGGTTCCATGGGGAGTCCCCTCGAAGGGGTGTTATATGCTCACAACTGAAACCAGCAGGATGATCTACAGTTGTCACTGCCCAGTTCTTCCTTGAGTCCCCAAGGCCCTCTAGGCTGCCTCCTTGTCACCAGAGGACATGCTGGGTGGCAGGCCCTGGCTGTGCATTTTGTTTGTATTCAACCTCAAAGCAGTCTCTGGGGGGGGGGTGGCGGGGGAGTAGGTAGTCAAACTATATAGCTGAGAAGCCAACCAGAAAATTTAGATGACAGCGTTTGTGAGTATCTGTCTGGCATGGAAGCCCAGCATCCCCTTCCAGCTCAGAGGAAGCCCCTGGGTGAGAGTTGCCACATAAAATGCAAATATAGCATGGGCCCTACTCACCGAAAAAGTTACTCCTTATTTATCTGAAACTATTTGACTGGGCAATGTCTTAAATACTACATAGGATGTACTTATACTAAAAACTTTTCAGTTATCCGAAACTCTAATTGAAATGGACAATATGTATTTTTATCTGCTAATAATAATTTGTCCTGAGTGAAATGCCCAGCAAATCTAGGCATGAGCAATTTCTTCCTTGTCCCACCTTTCCCCTTTGGCATGTCCCCATTCCCCAGTGACAGGACAGGGCTGCAGACGCCGCCCCTCCCTGTCCGCAGGCCTGCTCCACCACCCAGTCCTAGATCTGCAGGCTGCAGTGGGCATGACGCTCTCTCAGACAGGAAGAAGCCGGAGGCATGTCCACTCCAGCATTCCCCAGACCCCATCCTGAGCCAGGGTGGTGCTGGGCCCAGGTCCCATGAAGTACATAAGCTGGACTCATCAGGGCCATGAGTTACATGTGAAGGCATCACACACATATGTGTGGGTACACATGTACACTTGCACATGTGCCATGGAAGAGGTGGTTGCTAAATGCCCCCCAAGTGCGCAGTGTATAGATCGACTCCCCTTGCCGGGCCTCACCCCTTCCTTCCATCCCTCTACCAAGGGCCATCTCAGCCCAGCAAAACCTCTGTCAGAGGTCCTCAAGGACATTTCCAAATCAGCCAGCGGTGTGATGGTTGTCACTGTGGATCACTCCCAGTCTGGACTTTAGAGAAGAAGGGAACACCCCCCCCCCACCCCCGGGCAGTCAGGCTTCCTGGGTTTGTCCCTCTACCTTTGGGTAGGTAGTTGTAGACATCAAGACCCAGGTCTGTAAGATGAGCCTCTGTCCCTCCTGGTCACCCCCCATCTGGTGGATTGCTGGGTCATATCAATTTGCCTGCCCTACCATGTCCCAAATCTGCCCACTTCTACATCCACACTGGCTGTGAACTCTCCTGCCTCGAGGGCCTTCCATGACACCCCACTCCCTGGTTTTCTTTGTCTAAATCCCACTTTCCCCAAGGTCAGCCCAAAGGCCCCTCTGTGTAAGTCTAAGTGGGGTTCAGGGCTTAGCTAACTGTGTGTGGTCTCTGGGCACGGTGGGACCAAGATGCTGCTCCCCAGGACCAGGAGGAGCGACTGAGCCTCTGGAAGGTGCCTCTGTGGGTTGGGGAAGAGATAGGGGTGAGAGCCCTTGTCATGCACAGGGAGGGGTGTGGGAGTAGAAGAGCCAAGATGGCTTACTATCCCTAGCAGGAGGCTATGCCAGGCTTGGCTTCCCCCAGGTTACTGTGTACTTGGCCAGTCCACCAGTTTGGGACTCAAAGCATTTGGGGAGCTTATTCACAACCATTGTTGAGTGCCCCCTGTGAACCAGGCATTGTGCTAGGTATGGGGAATTCAGAACTGGCCATGATGCCTGCCACCATTGTTAGCTACCCAAGAGCAGGGATAGAGTCCTGTCCCACATTAGTTGATGACCAAACCCAAGTCAAGGTCTCCCAGGACCTGTTGAACACTGAGCATGGAGAAAATGACCTTCGCGCTCCTCCCCCAGCCTTCCTCTCCTGCCCAGCTGTCCCATAGCATTCACTAGAGCATCAAACACAGTGGGAGACCTGGCTCCATGCTCAGAAACAATGGGTTTATGACTCAATGCATCCTCCTAGAGTCAGGTTAAAATTCAGATTCTGACTCAGTAAGTCCAGGGTAGGGCCTAAGATTCTGTTTCCAACAAGCACCCACATGCTGTGAGGTTGCTGGTCCAGGGACCCTATTCTGGTCCTGGAGGAAGATCTTATCTGTCCACTGATGCCCTGGTCGGGTGGGCTGGCCAACCTGGAGATTTATGGCCCAGCCTGCTGGATGGGGTGGGCAGGTGGGTGTGCAGGACTGGTGCCTTGGGTGGAAGGTGAGGCGTACTGGGGACTTCAGGTTGCTGTACAAATCAGGGGCACAGAAACACTGCAGCATTACAGAGTATGCTGGCAACACAGCCTAATGGATGGGGATGTGTGCTTTGGAGCTGGATTGCTTAGATTTGAAGCCCCACTTCACCGCTTGCTAGTTGTGTGACCCTGGACAAGTTATTTAACCTCTCTGTATCTCATTTTTCTCATTGGCAAAAGGTCAGCCTCATGATTTGTAAAAATGAAGTGTTTTGATGCATACAATGCCCTTAGAACACAGGGCACTCTTGATAAACAGGAGCTCTAGCTACAGAGGAGGTGAGGTCTACATGGGGCTGCAGGTGGAGGGTCACCTACTATGGGCTTCACTCCACTGAGGCCAAGCGTGTGCCTTCCAAGCTAGGCTCCATGCAGGGTTTCTGCCTTCTGAGACCTGGTGATGCATACATTGTTGGGGTGCATATCTATGGGGGAGTACCACGCCTGTAGCCACTAAGCTACTTGGTGATGCCTGGTAGGTAAGCCATGTTTCCCTATGGGTGGAGCAAATGGCACTCGCGTGCCATCCATAGCTCCTGATTGGCCAGGCCTGGGTACCCTGGAAGTGGCCGTGGTGAAGGGGCACTTCTCATGTAGGAAGGAAGCAAGGAAGGGCATTGTTTATGGGGTACCATGAAGACTCCTAACACTTCTGGTGACTTTATCAGTCTAGGGGGCCTGCTGGGCCAGGACTTGCTGTCCCAGGCCAGGAGCATCAGGGGTCACCATAAGCAGAGGATGCATTTGAGGCCTGGACACTGTGGTATTTAGATTCACTTCTCCAGCGTCCATGGGCTCGGCTGTCATTTTCTGGAGGAGGCGTTTGTATAGATCGACTCTCTCCGCTGTTCTTCTAGAAGGACCTTTCTGAAACAGAAATCTGATTGTGTCTTTGGTTTAAAGCCCTCCATTGGCTCCCATTCTGGTAACGGCGTTGCTTCCAAGGCCTGCACCTCAGCTCTGCTCCACCTGCCTCACTAGCCTTTCATTTCCCTCACATTCCTCCTCACTCTCCCTTCCAGCTTTCAATCCCCAACAACACCACGTTTTCCACTTGCCATTCCTTCTGCCTGGAACTCTTTTCCCCACCTCCTGCCCTGACCAGGCCTTCTGCTGGAGGGCCTCCCTGCCACCCGTGGCGCCTGTCAGTGCACTCCACCATGAACGTCAGTCTGGGTTTCCCACCGAATTCACCATGAAAGACAGACACTGTCTTCTTTGTGGTGATGTTTATCCCACACCTCTCAAGCCTGTCTACATGTAGAAACATCTGGGGCCCCTTCCCAGACCTTCTGTGGTAGACTCTTCTGGGAACTGCTTGGGGGTCTGTATTTTCATAGTGCTCCTTAGATCACCCAGCCACAGGCAACCGCCACTGGAGCACCAGGTCTGCAGGGACAACCCTCACCAGTAGAGGGCACTCATTGAAGGGTTTTGGTCCCTTCAGGTCGGGTTTGATGCGGGTGGGAGGTCTTCCCAAATGTCAAGAACTGCACCGGTCAGTTTGCTCTCCCATCCAAGGCTTCATTCCATGGCCTCCTTGCTGGCTAGTTGGGGATTTTGTCCCAGTGACCTTTTGGCAAAGGGCTGTGGGGAATGGCGTAGAGTAGAGATGGAGGCGTGGGGACTATCAACCAGTGGGTTTGTGCTGTTGGATAAGAGTCCCCTCGGCCCCACGCAGAGTCACATTAGTTACTTAGGCACCACGTGCCCATGGGGAGAACCATGCCTGAGGGCAAAGCTTCCCCTCAAATTAGGCAAGTCCAGGAGCATATCCACAGCTATACACCGATTATGTGGTCCCATGAGGTCAGCATAGGAGGATGGGATTTTAGGACAGGAAGCAGAAGAATAGCACATTGATAGGGGACATCATGGCTTGGGCAAAGCTATAAAAAGCTAAGATGGGCTGTCTTCTTTGTGTGCAGGGCTGCCAAAATCTAAAACTCACATCACATGGGTCACCTTGGGTTCTATGGCTGTGGAAAGACAGGATCACCCCCATCTGTTTATCCCTTCTGAAAAACACCAAATGTAAATGTTGACTTGACCAACAGGGGCTTCCCATAGGTCATCAACTAAGTAAAAAGGACTTGGCAGGAGCCCATTCCAACTTTCAGGTCCTTGAGGGAACAAGAAGCAGGTGGTGCTGGTATGGGAGTGGAAAGTAACTTGTGTCTGGGGAGGCCTCTTCCCCTTGCCAATGGCAGAAACACCTCCACGGTATAACCTTGGCACAGATGAGATTGAGAACAGTGTCACATCCAGAGCAGGGTAGCTATGGTATAGATTTGGGGGTGTGAGGAAGACAATGGTTATCCATAATGGGCTGTGAGTCCAACCTTGGGTCTGAGAAGAAGAGTTGACATCATAAATGGGAGCAGATGGCCTAAAGCATTAAGAACTGTGGATCGGGATGGAGGCCAAATGGGAACTTGAAGGGGTGGGGCACAGGCTAAGCATGGCCAGTCACAGCTTCAGTCCCAGAGAACCTCAGTGGTGCTGTGTACCCTGACTGGCCCAAGCCAGCCCAGTCCCAAAGCTTGGCCTCCATCTTGCCCTGGATTGACACTCTCCATCCTCTCTCCCACCAGGCGCCTAGATGCCAACCTCATCTCCCTGGTCCCGGAGAGGAGCTTTGAGGGGCTGTCCTCCCTCCGCCACCTGTGGCTGGACGACAATGCACTCACCGAGATCCCTGTCAGGGCCCTCAACAACCTCCCCGCCCTGCAGGCCATGACCTTGGCCCTCAACCACATCAGCCGCATCCCTGACTGCGCCTTCCAGAATCTCTCCAGCCTGGTGGTGCTGTGAGTGCTGCCTCCCCCCTCAGCCCCCCACTATGCTTCGGGGGCTGCATGTCTCTTCCAGAGCTGGGCTGGAAGCCTGGATAGCTTTGCTCTTCTCTGCATGCTGCTGAACACTGTGGCCTCAGTTTCCCTTTATAAAATGAGGTGATCACCCCTGGCTGACCCCACAGGGTTGTGGGGAGAGTAGATGACATTAGGGCTGTAGGACTGCCTGAGAGCTGCTAAAAGGCCAGAGTACCACAACCAGAAACCAGGAAGTAAGCTATTATTTTCTCACTATGCAAATAAAATAACTACATCATACTAATTGGAATATAAGTCAAAAGTTTCTTAAATAAGTTCCACCATATTTGACAGATGATGCAGTCAGATGCTTGGCGCAGGGGTAGGGTAAATCCATCTCATTTCCCAGGCCTGGAGAAGCAGAGAAAAGTCATCACTTGTAATTAGACAGCAAAGCCCCATCAGGTTAATTACCTGGGAGATAGCATCCCTGGCAGGAATTGGGGACTGGGGTTAACTCTGCCTTCCCAGTGGGAACTTTAGAGTGCAAATTAGCTCCCAGCTAATTGCTATGAGTGATTGGTAAGTTCATAGGATAATTACTAAGGGCTTGAAGGTCATGTGTAATTGCTTTGGGTTGCACACTAATTGCTGCGGGAACTTGTGTGTTGGTGACTGTGCTAAATGGCAACATTACTTCTCCTGCTCTTGGAAATCTGGTGTGATTTTCCAAAGCAGGGAATGGATGGTGTTTAGATCCATTTGGGAGATGGAAAAGCAGGCCCCCATTTGTGTATCTAATGCTCTGTCCTCAGACACTGGTGCATCGAGGTAAATTTCCTAATGGACCTTACCTTTCTATCAAGATCAGCCATACTCTCCCTCCTTCTGGAGGTCCCTGTCAACCCTCTGTAATACCCTCAGGGGTATTATATACGGGGGATATTACAGAGGGTAGACAGAACAAGCCTGTGACGTCATGAGGGGATGGGGCCAGATCTGGGATTGGGAAAATGAGTGTCTCAGGATGAGTCCCAGACAAATGAGCAGCAGCAGTCATTTCTGTAGCCCCTGTGGGGGGTGCTGAAGAGTCAAAAAGTTGAGATACAGCGGCTGCCCCCAAAGGGACTGACCATCTATTTGAAATAGCAGAATAAATATGGAAGAGACTAATGATGTAACTAATGATGCTAATGCAGCCAGATCACAGTGCAGAAGTAGCAGCAGAGATTTTGGGGTGGCTGAAGTAGCTGTGAAAGAGCAGTAGGAAGCCTTTGTGGATGAGATGGGCTGGGTCGTGGAAATGGAAACATGATGCAGAGTTAGGCAAATAAAGAAAAATATTCCTAGCAGGTGTCCATAAAGACACATGGGACAAAGTTGGGGAGCTGGACTATCAGCACAAAGCCAGCCCAGTAGGGGCAGAGGGCCTTCTGGAAGAGTGTGGGAGAAGAAGCTAGAAAGGTGAGTTTGGGCACTCGTGGTCTCAAAGCAAGGGGGGTGACTTTATCTACTAATGTGGGAGGGGAGCTGCAGATCTAGGACAGGTGGACAGGAGCACTGGGCATGAGGCAGGGGCAAGTGGCTAAGGAAAGAATGTGCCAGAACATGACCCCTCTTTCCCTCCCCTGCCTCCTACTCACGTGGATGGAGGAGAGACATGATGCATCATGGGGGAGAGTAGGCTGGGGAAGGCTGGTCAGGAATTAGGGGGTGAGCTGTAGGAAGGCCCAGGAGGCAAATAAGGAAGACCAGGTGTGACTGAAGCAAGGGGTAGTTTGATTAAGCCCAAGTGGTGGACAGGGGTATGACTGGAGGCCTAGCAGTCAAATGGAGAGGAGACAGTGCTTCGACCCAAGCTCCCACGTCCCCTCGGGCTGCCCATGACACACATGGGACTCTTCCTACCTGCTATGGCCCCAAAGGGACCCAGTGGACAGCAATGGTGTCATATGTCTATATCCTGGCTCTTCAGCTGAACCGTATCTCTCACCCTCCCCAGGCTGCCCAGGATGTACCCAGGATGCCCAGATTGAATGAGTGGTTTGGAGGTGGAGGTCTGGAGCTAGATGTTTAGAGAGCTGAGCTGGTCTGGACAGAGATGCTGGGGAAGGTAGAGGGAGTTAAAAATGGAAACAAGAATTCCACAGGAGGCAGGAAGCTATGACAGAGACTGGTGACAGCTGGCATACAGGTGTGGAGGGAGTGGGAAAAATTAAAACCCCTTGGTTAGGGGAATCAGAAGCTCCTACTGGAACCTGATGGAGCAGGTAGGCAAGGAGGGAGAAGACAGACGGGGACCAAGGCCCCGGGCTCCCTTCCTCACTCAGGGGTTATGTCACGTGGGTCTGCCTGTTGCCTTTGTATTTGAACAGCATCTTGGAGACCAGCCTGATTTCTTCCCCATGTAAGTGTTTTTCTTTTTTTGCCTGAAGATGTTTTTTAATCCTTGAACTTTAATAGCTTAACTAGAATATGTCACAGTGTAGAATATTCTGCATCCAATTTTCCTGGAACAATGTATGCTTTTGAGCTGCAGATTCCATTGTTTCTTCATTTTAGGGAATTTTTTTTTTAATTATGTCTTTGAATACATCTTCTGTCTCATTTTTGGATGCTATCTTCCAAGACATCAATTACCCTTTATGTCTCCTACATCTGTTAGTTTCTAACTATTTTAACCTTTTGGTCTCATTCAACTGTATCCACCAAGGTTATCTCAAGCTTTTTCTCTGATACCAATTCAATTTTCAGCATCTCTGCTCTCCCTTGTTTCAAATGCATTGACTAACTGCTCAATGATTTAGGTTTGTTTTTTTTTTAAAGATTTATTTATTTATGCATACAAGAGCTGGGGTACAGACCAGAGGTGTTGGGAGGGGGTGAGAAGATTCACCAGAGACAGAGTGGGGAGCAGAACAGGCAGACTGACTGAAGTACACTGCTGAGCATTGGGTGAGTCAGGAGAGGTCTGCTGCGCCATACGGGTAGCTCCCTGGCCGGACAGGGATTGAACTCATGCTGCGGAGGCTGCAGATAGCTTCACAGTTTGCGTCTTAACCCCTTGCACCAGCAGGGAGGCCCTCAGTGATTTAGTTTTGCTCCTAAATTTGTCTCCCTAGACTGCAGTGCCTTCTCTTCTCTTGTTTGAAAAACTTTGTCTTTGAGATCTTGATTTGTAGCATGGTTTTGTAGCAAAAGGCAATTTTCATACATTGCCTTCTGCTTTCATTCATTAGTTCTGTTTTCTTCTAGGCCGGAAGCTTTGCCTGGCTTTTGCAACCCCTCTTCTCCTCTCCCTGTCTCCCTGTTCTATGTTTTTGACATTGCCATGTGATTTCTTTTGTCTGGCTTGTGCTTATACACTTGATCTGGCTGCAGCTTGAGGATTAGTGTTGTGGCTAAATTCAGCTCCATCCTCTTGCCTGTCCCTTGGAGGAGTGATGAAGAGGGGGGCAGTGTGGTCTGCAGTCTTTGTTAGGTGACCTGGCTGGGCACTCTCTGCAGATCAGACTGCGTGAGGCATCTGAGTTTGCTCCCTCCACCCAAAAATTCCCTTGGGCTTCAAGTCATTTCCTCAATTCAACAAGCAGGCTGGAGCCTTTATTTTATTTCCCCTTTCACCTGTTCTCTTTGGAAACCAAAAGTGGGGAGGGGAAAAGAATATCCACATAGGGCTTCTTGTCAGATTTGGGGGTCATAAGGGGAACTCTCAGCCTTTTGTTTTCTTGCCAGTTCAATTCTTGGAGAAAGGGGGCTAAATAAGAGCTTCAGATTCAGTTTTACAGTTTATTTACATTGTGCTGTGTCTCTGTCCTTGCTTTGTTGCTGCTTATATTATTAGGGGTGGGACAGACTCTTGTTTTGATATTTTCACTGATTTTATTAGGAATTGGGAGAACATTCAGTCACTTGTTTTCAACTAATTACTTACATTGGAAGTCTCTCTCACACTCATCTACTGCTCCTGTCTGCCAAGTCCCTCACCCTCCTGCACAGATGGGCTCATCCCCATCTCCCACCCTTGGTCCAGCCATTACCTCTGCCTCGAATGCCCTCCCTCTGCTTGTTCGGCTCACCCACCTTAAAGGTCATGTGCTAGACCACGGTCTCCATAGATTCCTCTGGCTTTACCAGTCTCCCCTCTCCCAGCTTATCTGCTGCTCTCTCCAGCTGTGACAAAAAGCTTCGTCTTTAATTATGCTTTCTGCAGTGGTTTACATCTGGCCACTGAGTCAGGCAGGCTGGGTCGGGGTAGGGGGTGGGGTAGGGAAAGACTAGAGAAGAAGCCTCAGACTTGAGCTCCTCTGACATCAGGCCTCTCTCCCAGAGCTTAGAGGAGCCTGCTTTAGCCTGACCTGGGGTGTTCCTTTCACTTTTCCTTCAGTGGAAAGTAAGAAAAATGGTGCAGCCCATGGTCAGTGGGCCTGGGAGTCTGACTTCAGAAGTCGGTCTTGACCAGTCATTCATCTCCAAGGGCTGGACTGCTGGGTAAATTCTGTCCACGCTTCTGCCTCCACTTTCCTGCCTGAGCTGCCATCTGCCTCCCCCATGCAAGCTGATGGTGTGGGCATCCATTCTGATATATCTTTCTTTCCTACACAGGCATCTTCATAACAACCACATCCAGCATCTGGGGACCCACAGCTTCGAGGGGCTGCATAACCTGGAGACTTTGTGAGTGTTGGGGTTGTGGTCAAGCTCAGTGCTGCCTGGAGTCCCCGATTCAGTGAGCAGGGCGTTGGCAGAGGGAAAGGCCAGTAGGACTGGGGTGCTGGATTGGCCCCCAGACCCACCCGCCCATGTTCTCCTCCCTGGCACTTTCTCTAGAATATCACCCGAAATGAATTTCTTCCTCTATCAGGTGGGTGGTAGGTACCCTCTGGGAGTTCAAGGCAGCCCACAGAGGGGGAGCCTAGGATCCAGCAGACCACCACAATAATGAAAATTTTAGACAGAGATGGGAACTGCAGGGAAAAGCTAGAAGAATTAGGATATCAGCCTGTGGATAGAAGACTGGGGGCGGGGCTGGGGCCTATTCGCGGCTGTCTTGACATCTGTTTAAGGGTGGCTGCTGACAGAAGGGAGAGTGATACCACAGAGTAACGCCGGGACTGTTTGCCAATTGATCTAACTAGCCGGATGATTAATGGGGAGATGGCCCATTCAGCGCTCTGGCCTGACTATAAAAAGCACACAAGCTGTTGACTCTTAAAAAGCCATATTATTCACACATCATCATCCTGGAATTCGGTGAAGGTCAGAATGCACCCAAACCCTCCATCATTTCCTCTGGAGTGCCGCCAGCCCCCGCAGAGCGGGCCGAGCGGGCCCCGCTTGAGCAAACAACTGGCGGGCTCTCCCAGTACTGCAGCCATGCCAGCTGGGGTCCCTCAGCTCCCCTGGGGGAGCGGCTGCCAGGGCCACCCAGTGCCAGCCTAGAGGGCAGCGCTGGAGGGAGGCCCCACAAGTGACCAGCGTGAGCCACCCATTTGAGGGAGGACTCACCGTGTCAGGGGCTGTCCACAGTTCCTCTAGACCCCTCAACTCACACACCACCTCCCTCCCCTCCCCTCCCTAACCTCCACCCCACGAACACACACAGGGGCATGGCTCCTGAGGTGAATGATTTTCTAGAACCCAAAGCAGCAGAGGAGGAAACGCTGTGAGACAAGCTATGACCTGAGGAAGCCACTGTTGGGGAAAACCATTTGGCAGCTCCACCCCAGGGTGCCCAGGCTGGCTGCACTTGAGGTTGTGGAGGGGATGAAAGGGGGGCCGAGGCCAAGGCCGCAGCCTCTTCCCATCCCCAGGAGCACAGCTGCTCTCTAGGCTCAACCTCAAGCTGGAGAAATGGCAGAGTTGGGTCTAGCTCTCCCGGGGTCTCCCCCTTCAGTTGACTGAGTGCCCTGGAGGGGGGTGCAGGAGGATGTTCTCTAGCCTGAAGTTGGGAAAGTTGGGGCCCCTTCCAGCACTGTGCTTTCCCTCTACCTGTGCAGCCCCCACACTGGCAGACTGATGTCCAGGGAGGTGCGTGGACGCTGGTCACCGCCTCCTTTAGGGACAGAGCAGGTCTAAAGTGTGTTCTCTGAGGAAACATCCATGAAAGTCCGCCAGGCAGCACCCTGCTATCCTCCATCATCTGGGTAGAATGGAAATTGTGCAAACCTACTGTGTGCCAGATCTTAGGGGATTCCAGATTTAAGAGGTGGTTCTTAGCCTCTTAAAGTCCCTGCCCCCACAGTTACCCTCCCCGAGGAGATACAAGAACTTTGGGGGTGGTGTTTGGTTCTTCCGGGCATCCACAGAGCAGGAGGGAGGCCAATGTTATCTGCCCTGAGGTGTGGGGCCCTGATCTCTGCTGGGAAATCAGGTGAGGAGGGGGCACACATACTGGGTGTGGGTTGGCACCTCTAAAAAGCTAACTAGCAGCTATTTCTTCACTTCTGGGGCACTCTGCCTAATTCTTTCTCAATTAGCCACTGGATTGCCGTGCAGGGCATCTGGCCCAGCTGGTGCTGGCTTAATTACAGAGCAATCCTGCCGCTCAGCGCCCACTGCTCCTTTCTTTCATCTACAGGGGTGCTTGGCTCCGTCACACAGGGCCCAGAACCTGCACCCACCTCACAGACGGGAAAGCGAAGGCTGAGACAAGACAAAGTCTCCCCACTTTGCACTGTGGAGGCAAAATGGCCTAGTGGAAAAGCCTGCAGCCCTTGGCATCAGGCAGCCCAGTGGGCAATGCCAGGCTACCAGCCCATGACCTTGGTCAAGCCACTGGCCTCTGTGAGTCTTAGTTTTCTAACTGCAATATCCTGACACTGACAACACTGATTTCACAGGGTTGACTTTTGGATTCAATGAGATGTGTGCAAAGTTTGTACAGAGCCCGGCAAACCGTCTTCTTTGAAACGTGCCCTGCACTGCCTGTTCTTCCCCCGGGCCCCCTCCCAGTGACCCAGTCTCAACACTACCCCTTCCTTCCCCACCTTGAGGGATAAGTTCTTCTTTCAACTTTTGATCTCCAATTAAAAAGGGGAAAAGTGTGTTCTTTATCCTCTATCCCCTAGAGCATTTGCTGGGGAGCCTGCAGGCACTGCCAGATGTGGGGAGGGGGAGGAGTGGCTGGGAGAATAAAAAGAGAAAGAAATGATAGTCGAGCTTTTTAATTGTTGCATAATTGGCACACTTTGCAGCCTTGGTTATTACTCCGGAGCTTTTCATGTGAGCTTCTCCCTGGAAGGGCATTTCTCCCTTGGGCCCCGTAAATCTCTGCCACTTAGACCTCTCTCATCTCCCGCAGCAGGGGGAAGATCAAATCCTCCTGGCCAGAGCTGTGGTTTGGCTCGTCTGCATGATCCTCTTAGGAGGGAGAGTGGCACCCAGCCATTCCACCTGGGAGGAGGGGCCAGGTGTCGGCTCAGCATGTACATGCGTGGTCACATCGCCACCTGCACCATGCAGTGCGGACGACACATACACACAGTGCACCTGCCAGGCTGTTCCAGCCCACTGTGCCCTTCAGCCCGGGCCCCAGCAGAGCACAGAGACACCCACTGGCATGGGTGTCTGCTGTGCAACACATGGCAACACAGGCTCTGCTATGCTCTGGAAGCCAGGCTGCCTGGGCTCCACCTGCACGCCACTCTGCAGATTGCATGGGCCACAGCAGGCAGCCTGGCCTTGATTCTCTGCTGCACAGTGGGATGCCTGCAAGGGTGGGGGAGTGTAAGCGAGGTAGACATGCACCTTGCTATTTGCTCTGAGAGCCAGGTAAATGTGAGTCAGGCAGGGCCCAGGCTTGGACACTGCTGTGCACTCTTTCCTGCTGAGCAGAACAAATCATGCCCACAGAAGGCACAGCCTTCCCATGCTCTGAGGTCACATCACACCCAGAGGAGCTCTGGGGACAGAGGACCCATTTCTCCTGATGACAGGGCATCAGAGACACCCAGCTGGAGGTGGACAGGACAAACTGTCCTGCATCCACACCTCCCCCTGTTCCCACAGAGAGGCTGCCCTATCACTGTTGGGAAATTCAGTCAGATGGGCCAGCCCCCAGCCCACGAAGCTTTTTCTTTCACTTTCCAGATCAGACCAAATCCCAAGACTTAGGGTAAGTGCCCAAGTTTCTATAGTTGGCTAGTGATGGTAGATCACTAGAATCTAAGCTTCTTGTCTCCTAATACTTCTTCACTTAGCATTAGCTCCTGTGTGGTCAGATCAATGACAGACTTTCCCGGGTATCTAGGTTGAGAAAAAGGAAAGCATGACCAAGAAAATTCTGGGAAGCTGCTTCCCTGAGGTGTCAGGGAGCTTGGAGCCACAGGGAGCTATACCAGCCTGACAGGGTCGTCAGTCACTCATCCTTGAATCCAGGCTATACTTACCAATGAAATCTGGACAAAAAAAAAATATTTTAAAGGTCAAGCAAAGGCAATTCATCCTGAGAGGTCTGCCCCGTTCCCTAGACCTGGAAATTTAATGTCAGCATCTTGCTAGGATTGAGAGGGCAGGGCCTAGGGTGGATTGAGGAACCAAAGTGCCTCACCTCCCACGATCTAGGCCTCATTATAACCTTCTTAAACAAATCCAACCCTCCAGAGCCCCACTGCCGTCTGCTCCCCCAAGGGGAGCCTGGGGCCATTCAGGAACAGAAACGCCCTGACTCTAGTTCCCTCTAAATCAGGGCCACATTCAACAGAGGACTGGGAGGACAGGCAGCGCAGGAGTCTGTAGGGCTTTGCCTTACAACACAGAATTATGCATTTCATGCAAACCCTCCTCTGGGGCCAGAGGCCCCAGCGATCTGCTTCTGCAGAACATTTGACTTTAATAGCAGCTGTGGTTACAAGGTGCTCCCCTCTCTCTGTCCTCGAAACCACCCAGGCCAGGCAGATTTTGCTCGAAACTGACCCTAACTTGGTCCTAAAAGTATCAGGTCACTTTTCAGTTCCAGACTGATGGTCTGGATAGAAAACTAGGTAGGTTCCCACTGGAGGTTCTTCCAGGGCCCAGGGTCTCCTGGAGAATAGCAGGACGGGTCACCAGACCCAGATTCAAATCCTGGCTCTGCCACTGCTGTGTGTCCGGAACAAGGCACCTGACCTCTCAGAGTCTTGGTTTCAACAATTAGAAAATGGGATTGCCTTTTTCTTAGGTGATGACTTGATGTGGGCATCTTCTTCTCAGCCCTCCTAGTTAATGCTGCTGAACAGCCATGTGTTGTTACTTATTTGTTTTGCTTCTCCCTGTGGTGTTCCTTGGCTTGTGGTCGTCACTCCAATCTCTTCTTAGTCTTCACGTGGCTTCTCTGTGTCTCTTCTAATGAGGATCCTTGTCATTGGCTCTAAGCTGCTCCCTGTTCATCCAGGATGACCTCATGTCAAGATCCTCACTTGGTTACATCTGCAAAGTGTATTTGCTAAGTATTTTTGCAAATAAAGTCATATTCACAGGCTGGAGAGCTTAGTTCTCGGACCTATCTCTTTGGGGCTATGAGTCAACCCACTTCAGTAACCTCCGGTGGGTTCCATGGCAGAGTCCTTTGGGGGAAAGTCATGGGGGGCAGAGATCCAGAAGAATCTTGCTGATTTGCCTTCTTATCTCAAGGCAAGTGCTGCTCATCCCGCTGAATCCCTGCAGTTAAGAGAATTAAAAGATTGTTTTTTAAAGAT